TTTGTCAATTCTGACACTTTGCGTCACAGACATGTGACCTTGGTACTGAACCGATGTGTGAATAAACCTGGCTGAATCGTTAGGCCATTCTTTCTAAGACCTACCAGCATTCTATAAGTTAAATTTCATTTTGCCTAAGGACGAACGCAGGTGGGACGCGGGCTAGGTCTCTGTGACTGTGGTGACCTAAGACCTTAAAACTTAATGAAGGCCGAATGAATAGCAGAGTTCTTTGATCACAACCATTTATTTCTCACGAGCCGACGTTTCGATGACCGTCTGTCATCTTCATCAGGGCAATTCTGACTGGTGAAAAATAAATGGTTGTGATCAAAGAACTTTGCATGAAGCATTCGGCCTCGAGACCTTCTGGGCCAAAAGCCGGACCGTTAATCACTACATGTTAGGGCGCCGTCATATTGATCCGATGTAACATCGTAAAAGCTTACAAGGTCGTTTTAGTCCTATTAGCAGCATCTTCTTTCCCAGAGGATTCTTGCACATGTATAGGGACCAAATATAAGATTATCATGAATGATTAAACAGCATTATATAAGACTTCAATGAAGGTCATTAGGTCGTAAATTCATGACTTACAACAGCCAATCTCGATCTTTTTGCCCAGGTATTTGGTACACATAAGACTGACCCCATGATCCGAGATCCTAATGATCCGAGCAACCTTATTTATTAAGAACCAGACTTTGCCTTCTTGGGCCTTCCTGGAAAAAGAGCCAAAACATGGTTTATTGCTAGCGAATAAAGGTCGTTTCGAGTCCTGTTACGAAGCAGCATCTTCTATCATTGACCCAGAAGATTCTTGCAAATGTAAAGGGACCAACTTGGGCACAAATATAAGATAATCATGAATGTATGATTCAAACAGCATTATATAAAACCCCCATGAAGGTCTTTAGGTCGTAAATTCAAGAATTGCAACAGCCGACCTCGACCTGTTTGCCCAGGTATTTGGTACACATAAGACTGACTTATCCTAGATTTTAATGATCCGAGCAACCTATTTATTAGGAACCAGGCTTTGCCTTCTTGAGCCTTCCTAGAAAATGAACCACAACATGGTTTATTGCTAGCGAATAAAGGTCGTTTCGAGTCCTGTTACGAATCAGCATCTTCTATCATTGACCCAGAAGATTCCTGCAAGTGTAAAGCGACCAAATACAGGGGCACAAATACAGGATAACCATGAATGATTCAACAGTATTATTATATAAAACCTCAATGAAGGTCTTTAGGTCGTAAATTCAAGAATTACAACAGCCGACCTCGACCATTTTGCCCAGGTATTTGGTACACATAAGACTGACCCCATAATCCTAGATTTTAATGATCCGAGCAACCTTATTTATTAAGAACCAGGCTTTGCCTTCTTGAACCTTCCTGGAAAAAGAGCCAAAACATGGTTTATTGCTAGCGAATAAAGGTCGTTTCGAGTCCTGTTACGAATCAACATCTTCTATCATTGACCCAGAAGATTCTTGCAAATGTAAAGGGACCAACTTGGGCACAAATATAAGATAATCATGAATGTATGATTCAACAGCATTATATAAAACCCCCATGAAGGTCTTTAGGTCGTAAATTCAAGAATTGCAACAGCCGACCTCGACCATTTTGCCCAGGTATTTGGTACACATAAGACTGACTCCATAATCCTAGATTTTAATGATCCACGCAACCTACATATGTATTTATTAAGAGCCAGTCTTTGCCTTCTTGAATTTCCTGGAAAAAGAGCCAAAACACGGTTTATTGCTAGCGAATAAATCTTAGCTTGACCTGAAAGATCAACAGCTGCTATAAAGTATATAAACGTCTTAATGTTTAAGTACGTGAGATATGACTAAAAGTATCTAAGATTTCAATGTAATACGTTATGTAAGTAGTCCTTGGGGCAGCAAGGAATATTTCTACATTGACCTACATGATCCTTCATACATATATCATCATCATCATACATGCATGCATTCTTTTCTCTTGGCTTGGCTTCGTCTCCGAAGATTTACATGCATGATACTGTATTAAAACTCCATAATTTTCAAAAAACATTTACTAAAGGATCTTTATGTTAAGCAGACGAAGCAGAGGCAATGAATCTTGCCTGCTTTAGGTCGCACTTTAGGAAAATCTTATATAAAACAACGACGCACAAAGTTGGCATATTTCAATTCAGCTATAATGTGAAGGTAACTTATGAAACATCATCTAGATGCTATAGATAGTTCTGCGTAGGTCGAAAAAACGACAGTAGACAGTAAACACCCTGCCCCATACGTCTGTCAAAGGAAGCATATATTCTGGCACCGCTTTTGGAAATCGCAATTCAGCTATAATGTGAAGGTAACCTATGAGACATCCACTGGATGCTATAGATAGTTCTGCGTAGGTCGTAACTACAGACAGTAAACATCCTGCCACATACATGTACGTCTGTCTGAGGAAGTCTGTATTCCGGCACCGTGTATGGTGAAAGAAGGGAACCTTCACCATATTAGGGTATGCTGTGAGACGTACCGTGTGTTCACGTCTCAAGCTAAAGTTACAGCTTTTTTTCCGGAAAATATTGCTAACCTTATTTGGTGAATAAAGCGTACGCTTTCGTTTTTTTTTCATTGCCACTCTTGTATCTTATTAATACCTGGTTAGTCAGGAAAAAGTTGTCGAGGGCATAAGGATTATCTTTTTTATGAGATGTGATGTGCTAAACTTTAATTAAAAATGTTATTTTACAGTACATAAACAAGATATATTCAGCCATGCCTAAGCCTTAACCGGCACCTGAAATGGTGAATAATTGTGCAGAAAAGCAAATTCAAAATCACCATTTTGTAAAATAGTCCAGTTGATTTTGCTGTTCTGATTACCAATTTTTCATGGACTCGCTGCACTGGAAATAACGTGTAGAAATAAATGCTTCCACACGTAGAGAATATGTATGTTTTCTATGAGAGTGAGACGATTTATGGCTCACGATGTCCCTGGGGCGTCGACCAAAGCGTGATCCGACGGGCAGGGGCTGTGTCAAATGTTACACGTTTTCATGAAAGAACATTTGCCGTCAATATTGTTGATATATGCAGTAATACTAGTTATGTACTATGTTTAATATGTTAACATTATAAACCCTGAAGGTATCTTAAAACACATAAACGTAAAACACATTCATGACCAACTACAAACTCAACAAAGACCATTTATGAAAGAGCGATCGGATTCGTTGATTCCTTGATAAGATTCTAGACCAAATGCATCCAACCACAAAAATCTATGCAAGTATGTTCCCTTGCAAAACACTCTGAAGCAGATTTGATTTATATTTTCAAGGAACACGATGGGATTGCCACACCACGTCCCTAACATATTAGCAGACACAGCATGAAATGCTGCTGCTAAATCATCAACCAGATTAAAGGATCTGATAGAGTGAAAGCAAACAGCGGAAAATTGCATTTTGATCCCAGACAAACGTGTGAGAATTGGCCGCTCTATCTCAAGTGTGCTCTTGAGAACGATAGGCAATTATGAGGCTCTGATAAGGACCAGAACGTCGTCATGGGTGTCGTTTTCTATCTTGTAACGTCTCATGATGCCATCCATCAAATTGGGCCATCCCAAGCGGCAATCACAAACAGCCATCACAAATTGGCTATCCCTAATTGTTATCCCAAACAGGCATTCCACATCTATCCCAAACGGCCACCCCAAACTGTTATCATAAAGGGCCATCCCAATCGGAGATCCCAAAGTGTTATATCGCAAATAGCTATCCCAAATGCCATCCCAAACGGCAATCACAAACAGCCATCCCGAATTGGCTATCCCTTACTGTTATCCCAAACAGCCTTTAGGCTTAGGTGATGAAGAAAACTTCTTTGTTGCTGGATACAAATTGCACTTATAAGTGTAAAACCATATTCAAGTATTTCATAACGTTTGCTTTCAAAGAACTCTTTGAAGGTCATACGAAGCCGGCTTCAAACAGTTCAATGAAAACCGGGACCCTTTTCAGATCGAAGGCTGAGATGCGTGCATGAAGGTTAGACATCAAGGTAACGATATACACTCAAGAAACGTTACTCTAGAAACTGAATAGGTTTTGAAAACTGCCATACGTTTCAAGTAGCATCCACTATACTTTTTATCAGTTTCTGATTGAAGGTCGAGATGCGTGGATGAAGGTTAGACAACAATGTAAGTCGATACTGAAGAAAGGTTACTCAGCAAATAACTGGATTGGTTCTGGAAACCTTCAGAGGATTCATGTAGGAGCACCCACTCCTTTTTTAGTCATATGGTTTATCATGAAAGTTCATCTGTGTTGGTTTTAATCCTGTTTATAATCCTGATGAAGGCGACAGTGGTCGTTGAAAATTTGATCTCTGTGCAATTGTGTGTTGGAATAAAGTTCAACGTTTTGCTGTGATGGTTTGTTTCATGTTGTTTCTCTGTTGCTTTACAGAACAAGCCGCCATCCCCACTACGACTCATGGCCCACAAGATGGCCCACGCGAGAAAGTCCACCTCGTCCGCCGAGTCGGACTCTCCGACCGTTCCTCAGAGAACCAGCGTTCCCCGACTTTTGAGACCAGAAAGATTCACAACGAGGGACAGATGTCCAAAACAGGGTCATGCCCCAACCTCATTTTTGTACGATCGTGCGAGCCGTCTTACCCTGGGAACGACGGAAGCGGAAGTGACGTTGACGAGTTCGAGAGCTGCGACTCGAGCCCGAACCAGCTCAGCCCGCCGTCGCACCTGGTGAACGGATTGGTGAGCCCCCTGGCGATGGCCAGGGTGAACGACAGGTTCGTGTTCAACGTGGGGGCGAAATCGAACGCCGGAAACCAGGTCGCGCCGCAGCGAGGCCACCGGAAGTTGGGCCTGTCCATTTCCACAGACGGGAGCGGAAGGTTCAAGCAGCTTGAGAAGTATCGCTTAGGAAAGGAAGGCCTAACTACGCAGCAGTCTGTCAAGAAGCACAGGAAACTTAGACAAGAGACCTCCCAGTCCGAAGTTACCGGGGAAAGAAACCGTGGCCGAAGATGTCGATGACGTCCCAATGAGCCCTACGTCACCGTTACGTGACGTCAACATCACGGAAGTTCAAGATCACCTTTACATCGGTGACCTTGAAGCAGGGTACAACGAGCAGCAGCTCTGTCGTTACGCCGTGGACTGTATCCTTGACCTTTCGAACTTGACCTCTAAGGAGGTCCTTGCCCAGCAGATAAAGAGATGTCCGTGTACGTGTCCCATGTCGAGCAAACACGCACGCGCCAAGTTGAACGTCCACATCGAGGACAAGGATGACGTTGACATCGAGCCTTATTTGGAAGAAATCAACACCTTTATCGAGTCTGCGCGGAAGAAAGGAAAGCGGGTATTGGTCCACAGCGTCCACGGGAAATCTCGCGCAGCCGCAGTGGTCATTCAGTACTTGATGACGCACCAGGGTATGAGCTTGCGCGATGCGTTCCTTATGCTGAGAAAATGTCGGCCGATAGACATGGCGAGAGGGCTCTGCAAAACTTTGGAGAAACTAGAGGTTCGCCTCTTTAACTTGGCGAAACCGACAGTATCTTTACTGAACGAACCTGGTCGTATACAGGCATGGGCATAACATCGTTTATAATGTATCGCGAGAATACACGAGAGGATTCAGAATCTCGACAATTATCGCGAGACTATTAGCGAAACTCGTGTTGTCTGGTCAGCTTAAAATCCCAACTGTGACGTTCACATATGACACGTTGTGCTGTATATTTTGCCAGACACCTTGGAGTACGGACTTCAGATGACCAGAATACCCATAAAATGTTCATAATATTATTCAAATAGCAGTGATGTCAATTCTTTTGGAGTATAACGTAAGTCGATGAAGGTGTAAAAAGCTTTCTCTTAAGGAGATGTTTAAATTGCTCTCCAGAGTTATATTTCCACTAAAACAGCACCGGGAGCTTATTCCACATACAGGTATAGCACTGACCAATTTGCAGTTTGGCAAAATCGCTGAAGTTGAAAAATGAAACCAATTGTATAAATGATCATACTAAGCCTGTTGCCGACTGTGCCGAATCCCATTTTATATTGTCTTCTCTTTGAGATAATTGTCCCGATAAACTGTTTTGAATGGGAACGTCGATTCGCGATTCTTACAACTGATGGAATGGGGGTAGATAAGGATTTTCTTGTATGAGTACCCAGATCTTTCATTGCCGTGTACGTGCCAAACCACACGTAGCACCCATTATATATTTTATTGCCTATTTTTGCCAACTTGCTGAAAGACAATATCACAGAAAAAACTAACAGAGTAGCCATTAATATCACGACTCTACTCTAGAGCAACATGATGTAGAGTAGATATTCATATTCTAATGTTGCAAAAGAGACTTGACAACCCCATATTATACAACACTTTAAAACTCTTGTGTAGCTTTAGAATGTGTCCCTTTCCACCATTTGGGACATCTTTTGACACAATCTTCCTGTAGCTCTAAGGTAGTTAAGAGTAGAAATCGACCAATAGAGAGATAACATGCCAAGGGAGTTTGGTCCTGGAGAGAACAGTTTGCCGCTCCACGACCATACTCCCTTGGCATCCTATTTCTCTATCTGGCCGATTTCTACTCTTTCCAGCCGCCTCCCTAAGGCTGGTAGAGGGTATAAGGCAGTGACAGATCCTGTTCTTACCAGAGCATCAGCAGTTTTTACTGGTTATCAATCCTATCTCACCGTCTCATCCTAACGCCTCCGGTGCGGATTGCGAGCAATCGCGAAGGAATCTTGCCAATCGCTTCAAACCATTTGAAAAACTCACTCTCTCATCACTCACTGACGAATTTTCCAGGAACTCCTTCAAATCATTCCCGTCTACTTTGTCAGCCACAAGCTCTACATGACTTGACAGGTCAGCATAATCTTGATTTAACGTAAAAGTCGACAAGGTAAATAGCTCGTTTCTTGACAAACCTAATCTTCTTGTATAGAAAATTATCCTTCAGGCATACTATTGAGTGTGAATTGTTGAGTGCTTTCCAAAGTTGCAATCATGCTCTGCACATCAAGGCCTCTCTGCCCTGACAAAATGATTTTCGTGTTACCAAATTTAATGATCATAGTAAAACGTTGAACTTCATTCCAACACACAGTTTGCAGAGAGATCCAGTTTTCAGCGACCACTGTCGCTTTCATCAGGATATTGAAGGCGACAGGCTAAAATTTGATCTCTCTGTAAACTGTGTGTTGGAATAAAGTTCAACGTTTTACTATGATTACTACCAACACAGATTAGCTTTTCATGATAAATTTAAAGATTGCCGTATCGCGAAAGACTTCAACTAGTCAACTGCAGCGTCCAGTACAAAATATTTGACTCCATACAAAATGTTAATTTCATAACACCAATCTATTGATATCCATCTTCTACAAATATTTTCATGATCAATGCTCTGCATAACTCACCCAACTAGTTCCACCAACAACGTTTAAGCGTTACTAGGTTCTCCACTGGCTCACACAACTTCACCGTCCAAATTCCTTGTTCGAAATCTTTTTACAGTGACAGTTTCTTTCCCCGTACGGCCAAGCTTTAGAATTCTCTCCCTGACAAGTGTTTCCCACCAACCTACAATCTACATAGCTATGTTTCTCTCATATTTCTAGTTCAATGCCGAGAAGTGGTCGTATAGGCCTTGCATTGAACCACTTCGTTAAAAAACAGAATTCTTCCAACATTGATGAACTTTGAAGCTACACAGTCCACAACAAAACAGGACATGGATTCGAACCAGATTCCTTTTTGATGAATAGCTACCTTGTTCTGGCCCGAAGACCTGACCTGAACTATTGATTCCGCGAAATCATGAGACAAAAGACCTTCTTTAATCTCAGAAGCGTATTAGGGACATCTAAGCTTCTGAGACTTAACCCATTACGTTTTATCACCATTAAAGAGAGGAGGGGTCATCGAACAAGAGTTCGTTGCACCAAAAAACGGTCCGCACTTTTGAAAGAATGTACAACCCCACTCTAAACAGGAGAGGGGGGCTACGGGTAGATCTCTCAGGCACTTGATTTTTGGCGCTCCCAGCCCCAAGGCCAGACAACACTTAAGCTCCTATCCTTCAACATCAGGAGCTTTTTGACAAATTGGCATCATCTCGTCTTCACTTGTGTAACTTTTGGACTTCGAAAAAATGTCTTCAGTTATTTGCATATCAATCAATAGTTTGTGCTTATAAACCTTCATTTCTCCACTAGTCTCTTAGTGTGTTACTGAAGAAAGGTAGTGGATGATACCTGAAACGTCTGACCGTTTCCACATTCATATCCATTTGCTTTATCCAACAACGTTTACTATAGGTTTATTCCTCCAAAATGGCATACAATGCCTAAGTCATAATGACGTGAGTGACTTATAAACCGGCTTAAGAACCAGTGTTGCTGGGCTGCACCATATAGAATCATAGCAGTGGCGTTATAAACTGAGTTACATGCACTAGCAGACCTATCCTTTGGGCTATCTTACTTATGATCAACTGAATGCGCGCTACATACCTAGAAGAAAATAATGACAGATTCCGTGTATGCTGAATCTGCAAAATGATTTTGTGGAATCTGCAAAAGGATTTACTCTGATCGAACGTCTGTCTCTGCAAGGTATTAGTCCAGATCCAGTGATGAATCACGTAAAGGTGTTGAACAATTGGACCCTCATATTTCTGAGTAGGCGACATACGTTCTATGGCAGATTAATGACAGCAAATTGGAATACTGAACTGACGACAGTCGTAAAGTTGTCGCAAAAAAAATCCAGACCTCTTGAGACAGAAAAGCTTAGACCAAGCCTCACTAAAAACCCTACGGCAAGAATAATATTGAGACAGTGACTGCATCTAACGATTTTAAACATGTTTCATATTACCCAAAGTTGCCAATTTGCTTCACGCAACATTGTAACATGGACGTGGCAAGCGAAGGCTGTAGACGGGACAAGGATGATAGATTGTCATGATATCACCTCTGATGAAACTACTTATACAATAGAAGACATTAATACTTCATGACGTAAACTTCTCCATCTTAAATGATGCTCAAGAAAAGATTCTGTTGTGCTGTGCATCCTCTCTTGCAGCATTTTGCATTTGTCCTCTAGTTGTAGCAAGTAGCCATTTGCCTTCAGAGCTTGTACATGACATGTATAGAAACGATATTCAACAAATATTTATTGTTACTTGACTCTATTGTGCCATATGGTGCTGCATGAAGAAAATTTTGCAGCTACCCATGATATCTGAATGTTCAGGTTTAAAGCATTAAATGTTTGTCATGTTCTAAATATTCTGCTGATATTGTAGCGTTTAGTTCTTATAAGTAGAGTTTGACTTGTGGAACGAGTCTATTACTTTTTCCATAACGCTGCAAAGACATGTTATTTTACACTGCATAAAACATTTTGAGATGGTCGCTTTCCAATTCAAAATAATACAAAAGGGTCAATGACCTGAACCAGACGGCTGTGACCATGGTAACTGTTGTTGGGTTACATCAAGTTGCAATTTTAGAGCAGGAGGGATCTTGACTCCTGTCTGACCATATGTATGAATGTATGTGAGTAAGAATTAGCAGAGCAGACCATGTGCGAAGGTAAACATTATGTATTTGCTTTGCAAATGTTACCTTTCTCGCGATGTACTCCAAGGCAATAATGAACCATGTTTACTGTTTGTCCATTTTTCTTTGTCTGGTCGGTATAAAAACCAATGAGGATGTACTCTTGTCATGCTGTTGTACAAGATTGTAAGCATTTGGAAAAATAAACTATTCATATACAGAGTGTATCCATGAGGTTTTCTTCTATCTATTTATTTGTGTAGTCTCTACGAAAAAAAGCTTGGAGAAGTTCGTTTTGTTTTTGTTTGTTGGAAATTACAGTTAAAATCTGTTTCAAATATTGAGTAAAGATATTCTTTTTACACAACCAAGTCTTTTATTCAGCCATCGTTTCGGTGACCGTCTATCATAGGATGCCTAGACCTATTTTCATTTTTTTTCGCCCTGTCGCTTCATTTTTTTTTCTGAAAAAGATCCGAAAACCGACAAATTAAATTTGTGTGGCCTAAGCAAGGCACGCAATAGTAGAGCCGTCTAATGCACAAAACCATAACGTGGCAAAAAGCTGTATTCCCGTCACGCAGACTTTCCATTCTATAAAAACTGCTCCCTGCAGTTTACTCGGCAATCAGCGCCGACCTGGCCTTCCAACTAATGCTTTCTGCCGTACGGACGCATTCAGTGCTCTGATCACAGAAAGCGCTAAATGACACTAAATGGCGTTTCGATGCGACAAAGAAGCGCAGAAGCTGTGCAAATCATACAGTTTGGAAAATGTGAATTCTGACGGCGTTGACTTGCGTGGATTTTAAAAGCATACCTCAAAACTGCATGCTTACAAAAATCAGGGGCAAATCACTGACCTGTGACCTACTGGCATCATATTCCTCTTGAGGCGACAGGGCAAAATAAAATAAAAACAGGTCCAGGCATCCTATTGTAGCCCCAGATGCTACGATAGGAGCCATGAAGTCAACACAAAAGGCTGGGTTGATATTTAAACAATGAATTTTGAACTTTTAATCAAACCACTGCATTGATAGATAGAAAATATGTAAAAAGTAGGAAAATATGAGCAGTTTTGAGTTGATTCAGAAACAGATTTTTTTTTTGGCAAATCAGATAAAAATAAAGAGGCGAATCCGAGAACCAACAAATTAAATTGGTGTGGCCTGAAGGACGTAAACATCACTCAATTAGATCTAGAAGTATATTCAATAAAAGTTTTGTATACAAAATGGAGTGTTGCGATTTCTACATCTATACGACAAGCATTACGATCCTCCGCCCCAAATTTGTTAGGGGATTATTTCCACTAGAAAACATTCCCAGCATCCCCATTCAGATCACGCTCTCAGAGGGAATATCCAGTACGTGAAAAACAAGACTCGCACGCGAGGGCACGAACATCACCTGAAGGCAGTAAAAAGGTCTGCCCTCATCACCTTTGATTCTATAAGTAAAGGTGGTGCATCACTTATAGGATTCCTGTATTCAAATCTATAGAAGCAACGTTCTCAGTGTGCTGCTAATATATGGAAAGTAATACTTGAAAGAGACGTCCCATATACAACAGAAACTGAATGTCTTTCGAAATGTCGGTGGACAAACCATGAAGGCTTTTTACACTCCCCACATATCTTGGTTTGTTGTGCTCATACTAAACTATTTTGTTACCTTCAATGCTCATTTACTACTCTTTATATAATAATGCAAAATAAAACAAATAAATGTTTTCGCTTTCGGCTCAGGCCGAAGAGTTGACTGTTACTTTCTGTATGTCTTTTAAAGTTAAATAAAGGTTGGGAAAAAAAGAAAAAGAAATGCTTAGAACTTCCTAATCTCCAACAGCACTGTGACCCTACACCTACATGTAAAGACAGGTATTTAAACAGTGGAAGAGAAATTATACAAGCTACATGGGGATGTTCAGGTCACACTTACAGACTATAGTTTAGTAAGGCCGGCTACGTTTCACAGTAAATTCGCTGGGACCGACCACTACTTGCGTTTAGTTCTATCCTCCACCAGGCCTTCCTATGGGAATACGGATCGTAGATGTCGGCAAAAAAGAGAGTAAAATTGGCCAAGGGAGTCCGGCCGCGGGGAGGTAGTTTCTTTCCCTGTGCGGCCAGTCAAACCTACAAGGCGGCCAAACTCCCCTGGCAAATATTCTCCTATATATAGCCAGCGTAGTTAGTCTGGTAGAGACTAGCTACACCTGGCAAAGGAACGCGACGGTCTACCGTATCACTGCTCTGAGCACACAATCGCCATGTGCCGACAGAAAGTAGTCCCTAACTTTCTACCTGCATTTAATACAACTTTCATGTATGAACTATCCAAAGTTTCCTATTCATTTTCACATTCTATCTAATGTAGTGTGTTCCCACTATGGAATTAGAAAGATTAAAGACCCAAATTCTTAGACAATTATTTCCCGCCAAACGGCACTACTGCGGATGAATATGTAGCGTTGTCTGAGAAAGCGTCGACCGTTTGTAAACTCCAGGCATTTGAGCTGGCGTGATTGTGGTGTGCGATCGGTAGTGCCGTTGTTTTGTCTGCTTGATTTTCCTGAAAAAAGGTCTTTCGTACTTTTCCCGCTTTCTTGTCGTTGCAGCACAATGTCATTCTATGTTCGTGCCAAATTGTTGTGGCGCTAGTTAAGTGCTGGTAGAGAGGAAGACTTAGTAAGTCACTTAGTGTGTATTTTCTATGCCTCATATGATCATGCACATTCTCCGGAACATCAACTGGCACACTAAGCTAGTATATAGAGCAATGTGGTGCTCTTTATTTGCATCCTACGTTTGACCCTTTTTAGCGTAGGACTTCATGCTGCGTCTACAATTTCTAATAATACGGTTATCAGTCCAGACCAATAACATTGACGCTAACAGGCCGTTTAAATATTTTAAGTCAGAGATGGCTGGCGATAGAGCAAAGAACAACGCATCACTTTTATTCATTTCATTTTTTTTCATTTAACATGGAAGAACATCTAGCTTACTCGGGGTGTGGTAGTCAGGGTCATTTTCTCAGCTGTCCAGCCTCTTGGAAACCCAAACTTCAGGGACTGTGCCTGGTACAGTGGAGGCTGGTTCAGCTTAGTTTGCTGGATGTTAAAGCCACAATTTGTTTTTTGTATGATTTAATTTGGATGCGAATTTGCTTGTATTATGCAACATAAATACGCTTATATATTTAGCATTGGATCATATAACTATATAGTATTACCTTTATTAATATAATTACTTGAGTGTATAGCAGAGTTCAACTGTTTATTTTGTTTCCCAACGACTTCTCATTTGACATTTGGCGTTGTAGTGCATACAGTCTTTCACTGTTCAACTTAAGGTGCTGAATGTGCATGGTTTATATGAATCCTTTTATTGCATGTTCATTCCCCGGGGGATAGATGTACAATGTATACTAGAAAGACGTTACAGCAATAATAAAAGGCTAACATCAGGTGTAAGGTATAAAATGCTAAAGTAGTGTCGATCCAAGTTCTAATGGCTTCTTCTCTCTTTTTAAAAATCATCTGTGGGTGCAAATAAAACTAAGATTTACTTTTCATTAAAAAAACACTTGCTGTCTCCAACAGAAATAAGCACAGAAGGCCAGTAGTAAAGTTGCAGTTTACTTAATAATGGTGCTCAGTGTGCATGGATTATAAATTATCATCTCTGGGTGCAAATGAAACTTAAATTTACAGAAAAAAATCCTGTTTCATAAACCTGCTGTCCCCAACGGTGCCGAGTGTGCATGGGTACCCGAGTTAGGCCATCTTTATTTAACTATATGGATGACAGCCGGGCGTGCATGAATTTTCGGCCGTTTCCAAAAAAAAATTCAACCATACGTACAAAATTCGTACAAAACAGTCGTACGAAATGAGCAAATATATACCTTTAGTTGCAAAAAATATAGGAAAACGATACCATTGTCGTAGAATGCCAAAATCAAACGAAAAAGACGAAAATGTAAAGAAATGAATTTGAACAGTAGATTATTTGCTATACCATACTCTGTCATTTGTTCAACCTTCATAACCACGTAGATTTCATAATGAATAAAACTTTTGTTTTTGCCAAATTATTTTTATTCGCACGCTCGCATCAGTTTTGGGGTTCCCAGAGGATGTCATCCTTATAATAAAATCACCATGGCCTTAGTCGGGGTACAACAGAACGCCGGTGAATGTGGCGAAGCGGTTCTCGTTGCTATGCAACGCGTAGTATCCAGGCGACCCGATGGCCAGCCACACCCTGTCCCCTCTGCGCAGGTGCAGTACGGCTGTGCTGGAGCCGCTGCCATGGTTACCCTGGACACGCCCCGCCCACAACGCCGTCTGAAACACAATACGGAAATACGTTTATTGTATATCATAGTGATAGTACATATATAAATATACATCCTTCACTACTCTTCCTGGAGTCTTACATTACATACATGTAGCATACACATACACATCTTAAATAAGATATACATACGTGTAGCATACATATAACATAAAAAATTATGAGATACGCAATTTTGGGATTACCTGAAACTGTCCGTTCTTCAGAAGCTTGATGTAGGCAGAGTGATGCTTCTGCGCCAGAGCTGTAAAACTAAACAAACAAAAAATCAATAATAATACGCCAAAAAACAGTTACTCAAGCAACTTGATATTATTTTGGAAACGGTCAGACGTCAATACTAGTATACCTTTTCTTACTACCGTCATTGAAGTGCAACGACGATATTGTTTGGAGATCAATGTTTGAATAAGTGCATCTGTCACCCTTGATTTTGAAGTTTTCCGACCGCCTTAGCTATAGGCTACACAAATTTAATTTCCTGTTTCTCAGATCTGAAAATGACACTAGATTGGACTCTCAACATGAAAACACTCTGTCGACATGAAAAGACAGAGTCTAAGAGGATAGTTTGTACCTGGGTGCACACAGTTTCAGGCATGTTTTTGCTCCAGTTTTCTGTGTTTGTGATAGCCTGGGTACCATCCTACTTGTATGCCGGGGCTCCCACACTCGCTTCCCTAAGAAGTACTTGTTAGGGAAGCGAGTGTGGGAGCCCCGGCAAACAAGTAGGATGGTACCCAGGCTATCTTTGTGACGCCCTCTTTCAGAATTTTGCAGTAAAGCAGCAAATTGATGTCGCTTTACCTGAACATGTAGACGCCAGGCACCTTGCACGTGATGAACCTTACCTGAACATGTAGACGCCAGGCACCTTGCACGTGATGAACCTTACCTGAACATGTAGACGCCAGGCACCTTGCACGTGATGAACCTTACCTGAACATGTAGACGCCAGGCACCTTGCACGTGATGAACCTTACCTGAACATGTAGACGCCAGGCACCTTGCACGTGATGACCCTTACCTGAACATGTAGACGCCAGGCACCTTGCACGTGAAGACAGAGGGGTTCTTTAGGCCCGAGAAGCTGCCTCCTACGTCAGTGATGACGTGGTCATACGTCACGATCAGGTCGTCATTGTAGCCGGTGATTCTGCCTTCGTCGGTCGAGCGAGTCAGCGTGAAGGCAACCTGGAGAGTTCAGGCGTCATTTTCATTTTTTGGATCACATCATCATGCTGTTGTCTTTAAATAGAAACCTAGAACAAAGTTCAAGCGTGCTATGTGAAAAACATGAGGCGTAACTTTTGAGTATTCCTATCGATTAATGGGTTGGGCTTAGTAGCAGGAGAACGTTTTTTTTTTTCGTTTTTAAAGTGATCGCTGAAGTGAATAAAGTCATGAACCTTTAACACAAAGGCCAGATGAAAATTTCCAGATCTGGTTTTATTATCACATTATTTGGGCCAGTAAATAAGAAACTCCCTTTTTCACATCAAGTAGATGTGATGTTTGACTCATTGTTGTACTTCCTTATCGAGGTATGTTCTTACAGTATTTGTAGTTGCCACTCGACATTGAAAAATTGCGTCAAAACTGCACTTTAACATCAAGATTCCACGTCTTTTTCTAGTTATTTTCTAACAATTTTGCGTCTTCAAATCGGACGACTCACCTTCTCCTGCGTACAACTGCAGCCTGTCGAGCAGCGGACTGTTCCAACTGCTGCAGCTGGAAAATGAAGATGTCACTCTATCAATTATCAGAAGGTGGTCTTAATGGCTTCTGCCCAACTTTAAAAACAGAGACGATATGTTACTCTCTACATGTTTGTTTTTATTCTCTGGTCGAGTGGTTGTATCATGAAGGTAGTACTGGAAGTGGAACAATTCCCCCTGATTATCGCTGATCTCAAGTGTTTATGGTGCCTGTAAAGCTCTTCAGAAGCAGCATAATAGCCCTCCACCCATTGTGCATGTATGTGAGCTCTCTTTCAAACTCCATAGCAACGATGGAAGACGATACGTTCTGCGTTACCCCTAAAGTTGTTTCGTTGCCTAAATCAATAGGCCGAGCATGTCTATTTTGGACGGCCATATCGTTTGAATGGATGTTGTTCACATAAAGTTTGAAAGAGGTACAATTATTTAATTTTTTTTCTTTGTCTCGGGCTAATGGCCCATATTACAAACAATATCCACAATGCACATTATTATTTACAAACACCTCCACAAGTTGTGCATGACTGCCAGTGAAAGAGTTCAGAAGTTCATGTTATTCAGCTGAACGATTGCTATTTTCAGTCACCCAAGTATGCTTTTATCTGGATCGTAGGAGGCCAATGACAATATCCCAGTTGAAAAACCTTAGTACCTGTATACAGTCAAGCAGTCTACATATGATAAATATAAAATCTATACCAACCCTGTAGCTCCAGGCCCAGCTTGGTGCAGCAAATGCGTCGAAGGTATTTACAGTGTACATCTTCAACTAGCTCAGTAGATGAAATAAATGCTCAGTTGCACAAATTGGCCTGGGTAATGTCTCTATTCCAACGATAGTCTTGACTATCATAACATCAGGAGCAACCTGAAACTTAACAGTTATGCCTAGCGAGGTAAAGTGAATATTAATGCCACCAGCATTGTCTTTAGTAATGACTAAGGATTTACTATTATTGAGAAAGAAATTACTACATACCCAAAACAGCACATACGAGCACAGTTCGGAGCGTCCAGGGTGCCATTTGGAGGCTCTCAGAACACAACACCAGCTTCAGTATCTGTATAGTCTGTATATAAACCGCCCTTCGGTGCAACACGCCAGCTTCAGTATCTGTATAGCCGGTATAACTGCCCTTCGGTGTAACACACCAGCTTCTGTATGTATCCGTATAGCCGGTATAACCACCCTTCGGCGCAACACACCAGATTCTGTATCCGTCCGTATAGCCGGTATAACCACCCTTCGGCGCAACACACCAGCTTCTGTATCCGTGTAGCCTGTATAACCGCCCTTCGGCGCAACACACCAGCTTCTGTATGTATCTGTATAGCCGGTATAACCGTCCTTCGGCGCAACACACCAGCTTCTGTATGTATCCGTATAGCGCTAGCCGGTATAACCGCCCTTCGGCGCAACACACCAGATTTTAAGTAGGGTTGAACTTTACACTCGTGTCACAAGGCCAGACGGTTCTGACAACTATTGCTGAGTGATGTTGCGGTCATGTAAGTCAACCTCTTTGTTCTGTATGGCAGATTTACAGCGAGTTGGGCGTGTCTGGTGATCCCAGCCCTAAAAACATCGACACTAAGTGGGGCGGTGCTATGCAACGTACGAGCAGTATGGTTCATGTACTTAACAAAACGTGATTTCTTATCATTTGGCGTCATTATGGTACATCGTAAAGTGGATGGTTGAGAGGTATAATCGGCTTTATAGGTTTGCTCTCAACCTAATTTCTGAACGATTTGCTACTCTTATCTCAGTAATTGTCTTTTTGAAAACTCAAGAAAGAGTTTGAGTTACAAAATCTGAGTTACAAAATGAGGGAAATAAACTTTGGAATACGAGTGTTGCTTCAGACATTTGTCCAATTTTCAATGTATCTATACATAGAATTGTGAAACGTTAAAACTATGACTCTATGAACGTGGCTACGTATTGAAATTTCCAGCATTAGGCAACCTCAAGAAATCTAACAGCTGGCTATCCCAGGGCCGCAAACTAGGACTTCTCAGCACTATCAGTCGTCAATGTCACAAGCGAAGCTTTTTTTTAATTGTTATATTTGTCTTCAGAAGTTACCGCGAAAAGAGATTCTAAATCACTCTCAAATGCAAAGTGTCAAGTGTAATGAAGTGTTCAATGCCCGTTTGCAAGTGTGATGGTCCCCACGTCCGTGGGTAACATGAACTTGGCATTTGATTGACGAGTACAGTTGACGTTAAGTGGGCCGCAATACGACACGTTAAGTATGCTACCAGTCAAAATGTCAAACCACCCTGCTTTTAGTTGGAGTGTGTGTCAACAAGCACAGAGCTTAGCTGGCTGGCCGGTGCGTTACACCGAAGGCTGCGAGGGTTACGATGTTACGAGGGTAAAAGAAAGTCCTGTGGGGCCTGCCGTATCCAGACTGTGCTACTATCTAAGCTAGTTCTATTCCTGAGTTGGTTTGGATTAGTTTCATGCAGGTTTTGGATAGTTTCGGCGTATAAAAAAAATTACAAAGACCCTACTTCCCAGGCACGGTTCGGGATGGATACGGATGGACTATCTAGAAGTGTCCTCAGTGTGAGTGGTTCAAACTTTACCACCAATCATATACAGCCTGTATACTTACGTTACTCAATACTATTTAATATAATATGCGAAACAAACAACTAGTTGTATTAAGACTGAATTTATTCACCATGGAGCTACAATCACACTGACTGTTACTGAGTGTAGTGCTGTAACAAGAAAAGTACTGGTCAGTTCATATTTTGCCTTACAGTAGCCAGACAATCAAACCTTTTTATTTTCCACCCAATTGTACCCAGCTACATGTTATTTTCTAAAGCACTTTAAAGAGTGACTGAATGTTCATTGTAATAATACAATGCAGAACAATGAAAATACATCAACATATTAATAGCATTTAAAGCAATTTGCCAAAGCAAGCTTTTTTGTTGCTACTTGATTGTAATAATTATGAGCCTTTTTTAAGTCCTTTCTTCACAGCCAGACCACATTATCATCATACTGGGTGCTTTAAGATTTACATGATTGTAGATTACTAGCCATACTTGTGCTGTGGCTGTCAACACCCAAGCAGCAACTACTAGTATACAATTATTTACATCCACTTGATTTTTAAACACTGTCAACATCACTTCTAGCTTTCACATTCAATAATGTAACATTTCCATAATGTTACTGGCACATAATTTTGAACATGATGATACACCATGTTTTTCATGTGCTTTTACATTCACCAAGGCAAAAAGAAAATAATTCTAACTAAAGATCAAAACAAAGCCAAAAAAAATCCATCCAAACTGAAAGAGCCATTCCAATCTTTCTGCAACCATTCGCTGATGGTACTATTATATGATCGCTTTCTGTATGTGAATATCAAAGAATATTTAGATCAAGTAGTAGTGTAAGTTGATTCATCTATGGTTTTGTATGTAGGTCAATTTTGTTGTACCCACGATTCTGTCTGTATGTTTACATGTAGCGAAGGATCTTACTAAAGTCAATGTAGCATGAAAGTTCATCTGTGCTGGTACAAATCATTATGAAATAAAGACTAAGCTTTAACTTCCAACACTTAGATACAGAATTGGGACTTACCCCAAATTTTCGGTTGACTCCATCAACCTTGTTCACGGAATGGACCCATCTACTCTTGGAACTTGATCTAAGTCCCAATTCTGTATCTAAGTGTTGGAAGTTAAAGCTTAGTCTTTATTTCATAATGAAAGTCAATGTACTTTTGTTATGTCAACAAAGTTTCATATTTGACCACAGCATTTCTGCTGAACTTTGGTCCTTGACCTTCGACCCTTCACCCCTCACTCCCTGCGGAAGAGTTTGACCCTGACCCCGCTCTCGGGTCGCAGGATGAGCTCGCCCAGCGGTTTGAGGTCGTCGCGCTGCTGCATGGTCTGTATGCGGAACCGGCGGAAAATGGACGCCAGGATGGTCTTCTCTTCCATCAGGGCAAACCTCTGGCCTGGAACAGAAGGTACAAAAACTTTATGATGGCATCTCAATTGTACATTGTTATGATCAGGAACAATACCTGTACAGGCTGCGGCAGAGTGCTCGACTCGGAAGCAAGAGGTCCCTGGCTAGACTCCTGACATGTCACTGATCTTGTGCCCTTGGGAAAGGCACTTTACACAACTTTCCCCACAACTGAAGTGAAAATGAGTATTGTCTGTCCAGTATTCATTTCTATGTGCGGGACAAAATACCAGCAACAGCTGCCTCTGTTCCGCGTGTATTGCACTGTTGCAATTTCAATAAATCAAAATTAAATGGCAACCTGGTTCATTATTATGATGATGATTATGATGTTATGACGGTGATTATGACGGTGGTCAAAATAATGCTTAGGAAGTATGGCAGAAACAGAGTTACAGTTCTAAAGGGAAAATTCAAGGCAAAAAACTTGTACAGTATGTTGGGTGGAGAAAGCAAACTCTTAAAATTGGATCACTTCTTGTCTAATTTCCTCACCGATGCAGTTGCGAGATCCAGCTGAGAAGGGTATGTAGGCGTAGGGGTGGCGTCCGGCTGCGTTCTCGGGGAAGAACCGCTCCGGGTCAAACTTCTCGGGGTCTGGCCAGTGGTTGGGGTCACGGTGCACGTTGTAGGTGGGGACGATGGCGGTCACTCCCTTCGGTACTTCGTAGCCACCTGGGAGCACAGAAATATGTAAGTTTTTTTTCTATCATGAAGTTCATCTGTGTTGGTAGTTACATGTTCACAGTTAAAACTTTAGATCCAGCACAAAGAAGTTCTCTCACCGAGAGCTTACGACCCAGTGTTGACGTCACACATCAAAGAAGCCACGTGACAAGCCAGAGTGACTGGTCAAAAGCTCTCGGTGAGAGAACTTTGTTGTGTTGGATCAAAAGTTTTAACTTTAAACATGTAACTACCAACACAGATGAACTTTCATGATAGTAAAGTTTCTTTTCCCTGAAATTGAGTCAAAACACCACATGCAAATGCAGGTTACATTGGCATACTGACAGTACTGGTGCCAAAATCCTTTGCATTGTTGATATTAGGGTCCTTGAACACAGCATATAAGTGTTAAGGCTACATTGTACAATGTATAGTTACAGCTAGCTGTTCCAAAATGTTGGACTAAAAGGCAAAGAATGGTGGAGGTAAAACTTGTCCGGTTCTCGTTATTCTCATGTTACTTGTAAAAAAAAAAGTATAACACACTTTGAGCTCATTGTGTGTTATCAAGATACATTGTGTGTTATCTTAGTACCAACAGTACAGTGATGATGAATGATTGTTCTAAAGATCCGAGGAAACAAGTTTGCAACATACCGATGACACAGTCCTCAGACAGGGTCCTGGCAAAGAACGGCACAGATGGGTACAGGCGCAGCGCTTCCTGGGGTCACAGAAATAGTATTTAATTTTATCATCATGTTCAAGACGAATTAAAGAAATAAACGTTTAAAGCTGGGCTGAACAGTATTAGCCTCCTTCGCAGTCTTGTTGGGCGTCGGCGTTATTTTTTCTCTGAGCGACGCGAGTAATATGCCGCCGCGAGGGAAGATTTGCTGCCGAGGGAGTTTTTGCCACGGAGAGAAGGTTTCGCGTGAATACTGTTGTATGCAGAACAGTGCCGTGGCTATCTAGTTCTATGCCAGAATTGGTTTGGATCAGGTACAGTCAGGATACAGGTATGGTTCTTTTCAATCATCTGTGAATTATTTAGTTTTGTGACTAGTATTTTCTATAGGAGAAACTGTTGTTGTGATTGTGTGAAAAGATAAACAAAGCATGTCAGACGCATGATCTTTTATTTTTGTTTTCAAATGAAGATGACTTGAATTAACATTCTTCCAAGGTTTAAGAAAAAAGCTTGACCTTGATGGGTTCTAAATGACTGACCTTGATGCAACACTCCAGGTACTTCATTTCACGAAGGTCGTCCATGGTGGGCTTCTGGTCAGGGTCACTCAGAACCCGGTCCATTTCGTCGTGAACCTTCTTCTGCACATCAGGATGGGAGCCGATCAGGAAAACTGCCCAGTTGGCAGCCGCGGCCGTGGTGTCATGGCCCTGGGATAGACACAAAGGAAATGTAGAATTTGTTAAAACTTGCTTTAAAAGTTGAAAACATAAACCTGCTAAAGTGCCATGCTGGAATAGACTTCTTGCTATGTTGAAAAGCTAAAAAGCTTGACAATTTGCTATGTTTTCACCATAAAACGCCTGGAAACAAAGAAGAGAAGTGGCGTAGTTTTATAGAGAAGAAAGAGAGTGCCTCGAACATTAAACTGACTCCCATACAGAAGTGTTATTATTAGAGAAAGCCTTCATGACTTGATCCCATCACTACTTTCTATAGCCTATGTAATTGACTCTATTTTAGTGGCTATAATAATTATTATCACTACAGAGAAGAAGAAAGAGATGGAAATGGATAGGACGTGTGTTGAGAAAAGACCTGAATGACATAACAAGAACAGCACTACACTGGACACCTGAAAGGAAAAGAAAGCAAGGGCGACCTAAGATCACCTGGCGTAGAACAGTTGCAAAAGAACTGAAGAGCTTCAGCCATTAGGGACTGGCATTAAGGGCAGGAAGTAAGTAAGTAAATAAGAGTCTGAGAAGAAAAGGAGTAAAACATACCTCGAACATGAAAGTGTCCACTTCTTCCTGAATGTCCTCGTTGCTGAGTTTGGTCTCCCCGACGGACGCGTAAAGCAGCATGTCCAGGAAAGCCAAACGCTTCCTCCCCCCGATCGCAATGGGCTTGTCCGGGTCCTCCACAATGTCGAGGTCGTCCTGTGATTGGCTCTCCAGCTGCTTCTGAAACTGCTCGCTGCGCTCCTTGATGACCTTGAGGGGGGAAGGTCAAATATATCTATAAACACTGGAATCTGCTTCCAGAACCCTGCTTTATCCAGAACTACACTCAGACACAGTTCTGGAAAGTCTGAACATTTCTATTCTAGAACACTCACTGATTTATCCATAACCGTGCTTTATCCAGAACCCTGCTTTATCCAGAACTATGCTCAGACACGGTTCTGAAAAGTCTAAACATTTCTAGAACACTCACTGATTTGTCCATAACCGTGCTTTATCCAGAACCATGCTTTATCCAAAACTACTCTCAGACACGGTTCAGGATTTCCAGAATCCTGCTTAATCCAGAACCATGTTTTATCCAGAACTTGTAACTTTATCCAGAAACACACTCAGACATGGTTAAACAATTCTTATAACCATAACTGTTACAGAGTTGAGACTCTTTTTACACAACCAAGTGTTTTATTCACAGCCGACATTTTGATGACCGTCTGTCACCTTCCTCAGGGCAATTCTGACTGGTTCACATTGTACGTAAATATTGTACATTTGGGAATGCATCTGTAGCAGCGATACCTGTGCTGCAGTGCAATGTGAACCAGTCAAAACTGCCCTGAGGATTCTGACAGTTACTGAAATGTCAGCTGTGAATTAAACACTAGTCTTGGTTGTGTAAAAAGAGTGTCTTTACTCTGAGTAACTTACCAACCTGATGAAACTTAATTCACAGACATAACTGTTACAGTAAGTTATTTTGAACTTGAGCCTACCGAGCGAGTGAAGTCGTGAAGTATCTGTAGAGTTTCCTCGAACTCCCGACCGGGCCCGAGGCTCTTGTAGATGGGGTCAGACCAGTACCAGGGAGACTTCTGACGCACCTGGATCAAGTCACTGATCCTGGGGGATCGACAACGAAATCTGGAGCAGGGATCTCAAGGAAACTTGCAATGGGATCTCCAGAAATCTGGGATCAGAATCTCAGACATGAAGAATGGTATACATGTACTAAAAAGGTATCATTTGCAAAGCAAATGCATATTAATGTTTAACTAGGCGTACGGTCTGAGTTGTTAATTCTTAACTCAAACACAGTCATACATATGGTGACAGGAGTCTAAATCCCTCCGCCTATAAAATTGCAACATGATGTAACCCAACACCAGTTACCATGGTGACAGACGTCTGGTTCAGGTCATTGACCCCTTATTTGTTTGGAGAAGAAGAGGAAGAAGAAACAGCAAAAACAGCAAAAAGGCAACAAACTGGTTTGTGCATGTGTCTACATGTGAGTGCATATGTGTGCATCTCTGTTTGGCAGTCTTCTGAGAATATTTCCACAAAATGGAGTTAATTGCCTTACCTGTAGATGGCCCTGACATAATCGGAGTCTGTGTTCTCCTGGGCATTGAGGGATTTGCCCATAGCAGTACCTGTGGAGGACAAGGGAGTTTCCCTATTTAGAAACTAACAATCACATAGCTGCACTTCAAAAGAAAGCTCACTCAAACATTCATGCACTCACTCACTCATGCACTCACTCAATCACACACCCACTCACTCATTCCATCACTCACACACTCAATCACTCACCTAATCACTCGCACTCTCTCTCACTCAACCACTCACACCCACTCACTCACTCAATCACTCACACACTCACTGTCACTCACTCACTCATTCACTCACTCACATGATCCCTCACTCACTCACTCACCACAGATGATGTCCAGAGCACACAACGTGATGAAGGGGAAGATGTCATACTCCTCCCCGGTGTCAGCCACCTCCTGCAGCTTCCGTACACTCACTCACTCACTCACTCACTCACTCACTCACTCTCTCTCTCTTTCTCTCTCTTTCACTCACTCACTCGCTCACTAACTCACTCACCACAGATGATGTCCAGAGCACACAGAGTGATGAAGGGGAAGATGTCAAACTCCTCCCCAGTGTCAGCCACCTCCTCCAGCTTACGTACCATCACCTCTGACTGGTCATGGAACTCGTGGAGAAAGTCGTTCAGGATCTTGAAGTGGAAAGTCGGCGTGATGAGACGACGGCGCGTCTTCCACTTGTCTCCAGCACTGAGGAAGAAAAAGATCCAGTTTTAGCTTACTGAAGAGCCACTCTTTTGAAAGTTATACGGAGAACACTCAGGGTTGGGCATAGGGGCTCCCTAGATGTAACCCTACACTGTCTTTCAACCAGTGTAGGGGTCTTTTTTTTCAAGAGTGAGAGTAAAAACTACAGTGATATGTGACCATAATTGTGCGCCTTCTGTATCTAGAACTGCGCCTACCTACAATGTGGTCCTTTGCCTGAATGGGTTAGGGTTAGGACCAGGCATAGTTTTGGATAGTCTCTGTAGTCGCAGCATGCAAGCAAATCTCAAAAATCATGCTACACTGTACATATTAAATATATCGACCAGACTTTTTCTTAGAAGGGAATACGTAATAATATTTGTGTGGCTTTTAAGACAGACTGACAATACCTGGTTAAGAGTCCGGTTCCGAGCCATGGGTGGAGGAACTCGTACACAAACGACTTCTCTATGTGTTTGGAGGAACTGAAGAGCACCTGGTGGACAAATACAAGAACATGAAGTAAGTTTACATACTTCACATATATGTAGTAAGGTTTGCAAAAGGAAAGAAATGCAGTCTTATATGTACAGAGCTGAGCTCTAGAAATGCTAACATTACGCTAAAATGGATGTACTTTGTGACAGAATAAACTAATGACAAAAGCAAGCGCTCTTAACTGACTTACATTCCAAATAATATGTGCTTAACATTAGCAAAGCTAAATTGTAAGGCATTGAAAGGTAAGGTATTGAAATGTTAAAAGCAATCAACATGGCAAAGAATTGAAGAGTAATAATCAATTGTGCAGGCAGATCAGAAGAGGAACTGATGACAAGCAAAAGCAAGAGAATGGAATATAAAATAATTATCTCTGAAGAGGCATGCAGAGCAAATGCAAAAAAAATTCTTATATATATTATAATTTGTACAGGCATGTTAATAATTTCATATGTTGATAGTTGAACTTTTGATTTGAAATAAAAGGGAATTTGGCTGAAGAGCTGATCATGTGACTGGCATCTTCAGTTACCATGGTAACATAGTCTCCGGGCTCTCTAATCATTTTTTGTCTATTTTTTTTTCTTTGAAGTGTTGAAAAGTCCAACAACCACTATTACACAGGGCATGATTATGACACATACTAATCCATTTTTAGGGACTGATGACAAAATACTTTGGCTTTGGTCCGACTTTGTATTTCAAAAGTACTGACTGCAACTAGTGATGTTAGAAAGGGTAGAACGTTGTCTTTGAGGCGAAAGAGTCACAAAGCAGCATGGTAACTGGGGTGAAGTCTGCCATCTCTAGCTAAATAGTTAGGGTGCTGGGGACTAGTGGAAGCACAACGTTGTGAACAGCATTTTGGACAGTTTTGTTTCGAGTGTGATGCATGTAAAAAGTGTTGAAAACAGGACTTGGCCACACTCCATGTACCTCTAGTGTTTCGCCGTGAAGCAGACCTATGAAGGCCCTTGGTCCGATCCACCAGCGAAACATGGGAGCACTGACATACGTCTTTCCCCACCCCGAAAGTTGAGCAAAAAAGTCTGCAAAAAACAGGCGATAGTCTTAGCAAGTAACTCCGTTGCTATTGCATTACACCGAAACACTGTGTTGCAGCCTGAGGTCTGTAAAAAAATCTGGCTGTACAAAACGACAGAAAAAGTTAAGATGATGAATAAAGGGAAGGAAACAGTCAATAGACAAGACAAAGTAGGGTTTTGTCATGTAGTCTTCAGAACTGGACAGGAAAATGCTGTCAAGCAGTTTGGGTCTTGTTAAATTTTATACCTATAAGGTTTGAGGCTGAAGGAAGCCTATGGTAGCATTAGGTCCAATCCAAAGACGAAACAGTGGGGCATTGTCGTTCATGTAAGCCTGAGCCCAGTTCGTGAGCTGGGAGAAAAAAGCTGCAAAACAAAAAAAAAGGGAAAATTTCAGGCAAAGCAGGGCATTGTTGAAAAAAATTCTGGTCCTTTTTTTAACGTGAACAGTTGCTGGCACACTGAAAATTGTGCCGCCTTTAATTATAGCAGACCAACTTCCAGCCCCTTTTGAGCCAAATCTACAAAAATTGTGTCCACTCAAGGGGGCTGCAGTTCTGGCTAGAACTGATAGGTGTCCTCGGGTGCATGTAGAGGTGACCTGAGAAGCTGCAGCAGGTCAGCATGAGGACTTGTTACCATGGTAACTGGGGGAAATGGCCACCTTCTTTGCATGATCAACGTTAACTCTCATGGCTGAAGCAATGACTGTTTAATGTGGCAGCAATGATGTTGTATCCATGCGGAACCGTGATTTGTCCATTTGGTGTTACCTCTGATGTCTCTGGGTGGTGTAGCCCGACTACCGGCAAAGGACCCAACCACAGACGAACTAGCCGTTCTTCCTGAAAACCTAGTCGAAGCATTTCCTCAGTCAGCTGCCGAAAAAAGTCTGCAAGTGCGATAAAAACCAGGAAATCCTTTCTTTCAAAGATGGAAACCACACTATGGGTTAAGTGTTGGGAAGAAAATGTACAAGTTGTTATGATATGCAGGTGTGGAAATGATTTGGCGCTGGTCTGGAAGAGTTTTTGTGGTGTTCTCTTGCCACTCCGGGCCTTCGTACCTCCAACCAAAGATCATGACAATGAAAAAGAAACAGCTCGAATTTACTGGCAAAAAACATTCCTGAAAATCAGTAGTTGCCATGGTAACTGAAGAAAAGAGGGGAAAGATCGTTCTTCATTTCACACGATCAGCTTTTGCCTTTGGACAGACAAGAACTTTAAAGAAGTGCAGTACTGCGAGCTGTGGTTAGGTGGCGCTGCTACACTGCTCATTACCTCGACAGTCTCGGGGCGATTCAGCCCGAGAACGGGCACCGGTCCCAACCAGACCCGCACCAGCACAAACTCTTTGAACAACTTGTGCCCTACCACACAAATCTGCTCAAAAAAATCTGTGAACACAAACATGTTTGGGTGGATTTAGGTTTCGGATTTCTTTAAGATTTTTTTTTTGGGGGAACTTTGTTGTTGCCAAGTAGCATTCCTTGAAGTACTCAGTCAGACTTCTAGACTTTGCAGCTTTGCTCCTTTAGGATAAAGAAAAAAATGAATAAGCTGACTCGACTGCATGATTTGTGCATAATAATGTGCAGATGATGTAAAAAAAAGTACAGCAGAAAAGGGGAGGTTTGATCACAAAGTTCTGATTTTGCTCAATTTTCAGACGACTTTCCTGAAAAGAAGAAAAGCGGGTACAGTCAGTGTTGCTAGGTTACTGTTGCTAGGTTACCTCCGCAGTTTCGGGGCTGCAGGTGATGGCGACCGGCGTCACGCCAAGCCAGAGTCGCGTGAGGGGAGAAACTCGCTGCCAGGGAGCGATTATCACGTACGACGCCTGGTGAAAGAAATCTGTCCCACAAGAGGATGTAATTTCACTAAATAGTTTCATCAGGATTCAAACCAATTCAATACGGTATACAGAATGTTGGTGTTTGGTTACTGGACTTTTCAGAAGTATGATGCAACATGTCAAAAAAAACAAATGGCACCCTACATGATAGACCCTTATACATTAACAAGGTAGCCGCCATGAAGTCAGCATACAAACTGCCAGGCTGGTTTATAATTTAGACAATGAATTTACTTTAGTACTCAAGATTTTATTCCAGGGGGATCACACTAAATCAGTGGTGCAAATGTAAAACGTGTCTGGCACAAATATATTTTGACAAATTTGAGCCCTATACAGTATACTACATACAGTATACTGTACATTGCAAGATCTCAGTATATTAGGCTTTGACCTCAGATCAAATTGCTGACTGAACTCCCAGCTGGTCACTTGTACTATGTCCTACTTGGGACAACCTTTGTCCCAGAGATGAGGTCATCACAGGACAAGTGACCAGCACATGACTGTTAGACATCACTGGGATAGAAACACTTTATATACCAGTATATGCCTATGGCCTGCCAGCAGCCTGACTTGTAGCCTCCTGTTCAGGCGTTCCGGGATGGG